TTCTGATCACAAATATTCTATGGGATTTAAATCCGGGATTGACTTGGCCAATTTGCCAAAATTTTGATTTTTTTCGTTTTCATCCACTTTTTAACATTTTAGCAGTATTGTCACCTTGAAATAAATAACCTCATCTGTTAAATCTATTATTAATTAATGGAAGCAAATGTGATTCAAGTATTTGAATATAATCATGATAGTTCATTTTTCCATTAACTTTTACTAGCGGTCCTAAACCTTTTTTTGAAAAACAACCCTACATCATCACACCTTCACCACTATATTTTACTGAAGGAACTATGTTTTTAATATTAAATCTTGTTCTGGAAGTTCTCCAAACATGACCTAGTCCATCATTTTTGAATATTGTAAAACGGCTTTTATCACTCCAAATTACTGACTTCCATTTTTTAATGAACCAGTCTTTTCTTTCAATACACTAGTTTAAATGATTTTCTCTTTATTTATCATTAAGAAGAGGTTTAGATGCTAGAATATGTGAAAAAATATTAAGTTCATGCAAATTTCTTCTTATAGTCTTGGTAGAAACTTAAATTCCAGCTTTTTCTTGAAATTTATTTTTTATTTGTTCAGCTGATTGGTGGTTATTAGCTTGAACAATTTTTTTTAATGTTTTTTGATGTTTACAATTTAAAAGTTTAGGATGATCACATCGCGGTTGAGTTTTAAGACCTTTTTCTTCACAAAAGGTTTAAATAGTTCGGTAAACTGTTGTTTTTGAAAAGTCAAGTGTTTTAATAATGTGGTTTCTTGTAGTGCCACCTTTAAATAAACTAATAATTTAGTTGCGTTCAGCTTCCGTTAAATGTGGCATAATACAAGGTAATACAAAATCCTATTTTGCCGATCACATTTGATTTGTTTATAAATAAAAATAATAATTATATCATTGTTTATGTAGATCATAAGCTATTACATGTTAAAATTTCAGCTCAAATTATTATATATATTTTTGAAAATTAGGCCAAAATATGTTTCCCGAAACTTTTGTCTAAGTAGTGTATAATCAAACGATCTTCTGATCAATTTTTAAATCACGTTCTGATACTTGCTTATATGGATGATACCCTTTGGATAGCAGATTCTAAAGTGGATCTCCAAAATATTATGAATATTGCTGACTCATTCTATACTCTAAATAGTATTTAAGTAAATTGGAAGAAATCAGTCTTGATGATGAATATTAATGACTCCAGTATTGTCAACTTCATGGTTAATGACAAAAATATATAGCTTTCTCCACTGTTTATTAAAGACTCCACCCGTTATCTTAGAATGTGGATTTCACTTTTTGACAATACAATATACATTAAAAACCAAGTGTCATTAGAATTCAAAAAAGTTAAAATATACTAAACAAAAAATGACTCACAGCAAAGCAGCTTATTGCAATTTTCAATATTGTAGTTATTCCTAGAATCATTTATAAAACTAAATTGACCTTTTTACCAGCTAATTTCTGCAATATGATGATGGCCTCCTTTAAAGCCTTTTTCAAGAATAAACTGCGTTTAACCAAACCCTTACCAGTATCTATTATCCATTTCACATTTGGATACAATTTAACTCACCTATATAATAAATAAATGCTAGCTAAATCATCTGATCTATTAAAAATAATTAATGATATTGCTTTATTAGAAAATACTGCTAAACTGAGAATCATGTAACTTCAACTTTTAGAATGGTTACATCTATCACTAATTACCAGTTGATTATATGATAATCCTTCTCTTTTTAAAGACTAGTAATCAGCTTTCCTATCAGCTGTCAAATTAAATAGTTTTACCTTTGGAAAATATTTGGACAAACATTTCAAATACTCTTAAATCATAAGCGGTTCCTTACCTATTTCATCTATTTTACTAACCAATGTATACAGAAAGTCTATTAAGAACATTCGTATCCTCTCAATAATATTTGTGGATCAACTTTTCTCAATGGATGGATGCCATCTCTTTACTTCCTTTGATATCAACTGGTTGCTTAATACAAATATATCACGTGCAACTTGGTTTTAAAAATTAGAATTTCAACTTCTATCTAACCCCTCATCTAAAGATATGATGGTAACTTGTTCACTATACCCATCGATTTGTGACTTACCTTCATCAACCATTCAATTGAAAGAGAATGACAATAATAATTCTACTTTTGTGATTATTTGGTCTAATCAATTTTTGACATTTATTATTGAAAAAGTTAAAACTATCAATAACGAGACAATATTTGTTCAGCACTATATAGCTATGCATGACTCAAACTTCAAATCAGATATTACTTCTTGCAATAGATGTAGCCTCTTTGATCTTACAGCAATTGTTACAAATGTTCAAGCAAATATTCACAATTTCTGTGCTATGAAACTCCTAGTTCAATTTTGCATAGAAATAAAAATACAGTATAACAAACATATAGGATGGAGATCCAGCCTTTCTGATCTCATGCTACAGGAGGTTACACTCTCCAAACTTACTAATCCTTATCAATACTTACATAAGCCTTTATTGGATCTAACTGTTTTACCATTTGATCATCATTCAATTATATTACTTGATACTCTTAAATCTAACTATATTTCTGCTACTTTTCTTCAATTTTACACAGACGATTCTCTTACCTCTTTAGGTTCCTTAAATTGCTGGTTAGATATTGTGTGATTACAAACCAATCCAAAATGACCAATACTTTCTTTTAATGCTACTCTTTTATCACCAAGTCCTTCTTTCATACTGGCTAAAATTGTAACTATATTAATTGCAGTATATGTTTCGCCTTCAGACGCTAGTATCAAAATCTGCACTGATTCTTAAGCTGCTATTTCCTTTTTTTATAAACTGTCATTTATCTTTTGAGATTTCCTATTAATTAATCCACTTTTAAAATCTCATACTTTTACATCTGGTCAATGTTATTCAGCCTCATTGCATAGAATAACATTTTCATTTTATTCACTAAAGTACAAGCTCACAAAGATGACCACTTTAACTAGGGTTGGTAAAGTCTCAGGTCCTAGACTTAAAGACTTAATCCTAGGATTAGGTTCGCAAATCTTTAAATCTAATTTTTCAGATTAATAAAGACCTGGTTCTAACCAATTAAATTTTAGCTTAAAAAAAAAGATTAAAAATTTACCAATAAAAAATTACACATTTACTTTATGTAAAACGCCAAAATATATAATGGAAAACCTTTATAATAGTTTATATAATCCACCTCTTTATTTAGATGATATTAATGAAAATGAATTGGAACCTTTTTATAATTTTCATGATACTGATGAAACATCAACTACATCTAATACAAAAGTTTATAAGGTTCACAAAATTCACAAAACTCGCATAAAACTTCTTTTTTATGGAATTATATAAGTTACAAAACTCCAACTCATTTGGGAGTACCTGTATATAAAATACGTGATTTTGTTTTCTCTTTAAAGTCAGGAAATTCTAGTATGGAACGTCATCTGAATAGCAAATATAATATAGTAATACCAAAGGTTAATAAACAACAAACAATTTTAAATTTTAAATGTACTGGTCCTTAGCCTCCTAAAGAAAGTTAGAACGAGATCAAATAGTTACTAATTGGATAATTTCTGATCAACAGTTCTTTAGAGTTATAGAAAATGAATATTTCATTAAAATGATGAATACATTTGATCTCTGTTACAAGGTTTCAGATCGTCATCAAATTAAACCAATGGTTATTTAAAAGTTTGATAAATGTTAGTCAAATATTAGATATAATCTACGTAAAATGCCTGGCAAGGTTGCATTTACCACTGACATGTGGATATCAACATTAAGTAGTGAATCATATCTTGGTTTAACTATTCATTATATTGATCAGGATTAGAATTTTAAACGTTTTTTCTACTTGATATTATTCCTTTTTCAACTTAACATACAGGAGTTAATATAGCAAATACAATTATTAGTGTTCTTAATAAATTTAATTTAACAACTAAAACTTTAACACTTACAACAGACAATGAATCAGCAATGATAGTCTGTGAAAAGAAACTAGCTGAAGAGTTTAAACAGATTCTAGACAGTTTTTCTTTTAAACATTACTGCTGTTCAGCTTACATTCTCAACCTTATAGCTAAACATGATATAGAAATAATAGATAAAGAAATATTAAATGTACGCAAGTTAATAGCAAAGATTAAAAATTCTGTTTTATTATGTAATGATTTATACGAATTATGTATTATGGAAAAGCTTGAATACCTTCAACCTGAAATTGATGTAGAAACAAGGTAAAATTCTACCTTTTATATGCTTCAAAAATTGCAATGAATGGAAAGAGTATTAAAAATGCTTGCAATTAAACATGAAGATATATAAATTTAATACCAGATGCTTTAGCATAGAAAAAAATAGAGGTAAATATAATATTAGTAAATTTTTCATATATATATTATAAAACAAAAACTTATAATTATAATAATTAATTATTCAAGAAAACACTTACTGTTTTGGAGTCTCTTGAAAAAACAACTATAATTCTTTCTGGTTCATCATATCCTATCATAGCCGATGTACGTTATTTCTTTAATGAAATTAAGGCACATTTAAAACATTATATTGAAGAAGATGGCTTTGATTAGTATATATTAGCAGATTCAATAAATCATAAAATTGAAGAATATTAGATAATAATCGATGATATAATTACAGTTACTGCATTATTAGATCCTCAAAATAAAAATTCTGTTTTTGAAGTTGGAGAACAAATGACAAAGGCAATTAATACCTTAAAAGAATAACTTTCCTTATATATCTCAAGAAATACGATCACAACCTTTTTGTTTTCAAAATACTTCTAAATCATCATTATCACTATGAGAATACTTTCACCAATTAAAAAAATGTTGTTTAGAAGCAACTGCCAAAATATCACAAACTTCTACCTTAACCAATTCTATTTTTACTGAATTTATGATTTTCATATAGCAAAAAAAGAATTTCCTGTTATGATTTTTTACCCTTTGGGGACCACCATGGTTTATGTATATATTTGGCCTTATAATGAGTAGGTTTGATATCAGAATCATCACTAAAAATATTATCGAATCCATTATGTGTGTTTTCTTGAGTCTCTGCTATTTTATTTGTTTGCTCATACATATCCTATATAAAATATTAACATGGATTAGATATGCAAAACTTTTTAGCAATAAAATGGGATCAAGCTTACTATAATAAAATTTATAGTATTGACGGCAGATTTAAGCTTTTTAATATGCTGAAGCCTTGTCGGAAGCTCAAATTTCAGTCTAGGATATATTACATAGAAGCCCTCAACCAAATCTTCGATTAACATTTGGCCACTTGTGCGACATACTTGCATAAAGGGCACTTTAATACTTTTAGCCTGCTTGTCAGTGAGGTTGAGATTTAACAATCCATTCAAAATAGACTGATTAACCCTAGCAGATCTGCAACGGTCACCAACAGCCTTATGGGGGATTACTTCCGATACAAATTCCCACTCCCCTATGTCTACTCCAGACATTGATAGAAAGCGCAAGTCACATTTTCTGCCCTTGTTGTAGTTATTACTTTTACTTAGTGGGCAGAAGGATTCCTCCTTTAGACCATGAATATGGTTGTAAGTATAATAAATAGTTTGATCACGAAGTAACAAATATTCCATGCCTTTTACTAACCATTTTTGATGTATTTCAAAATCAGGGTTCAGTCTTTCAATAATATACCCGAAAGCCTTCACGATGACATCAAGTTCTGTGTGCGTATCTCCTGCATAATTTAGGATATTGACTTTGTTCTTGCTTTTATAAATACTGTACCAAATAATAAAGTTAGAGTTACAAAGATAAAAATAGATTCAACAATAAGATAATTTACTTACAACTCAGCATATATCTTACTTATTTTGTGCATATAGCTGTTTTCTTCAGAATCAACATGATTTTCAATGCAAAGCTTGTATGCATCATTTACATTTCCCTTAAGTACCATCTGTAGAAAAACATGAATTAATACACCTTTATATTAAGATAAATTCAGAACAAGATATGTATACTTTTAACTTTCGATATGAATGAATTTTCTTCTGTCAGCAACTGAGGAACCTTTAACAGATCAGCATAATCTTTTGTCATGAATTTTATATCCTCAATGGAAAACCATTCGCTCATGACAGATAAATCGATTATATTTAATACACTATATTTTAATATGGCTTTTTATATATGGTAAATTTTTTCTTATTATTAGCTTTTGTTGCGTTGGCAGATACATTTTCATCGAAAATTTCACCTACATATAGCCTTGAAGGCAAATTCCATTTTTTTGAATTGTTGATATCCGTATCTTTCAGATCAGGAATACCCTTCATCTTCTTCTTGAGAGGGATGATCATCATTATCTGACTGCACTAAATCAAGTGGAGTCACCTTTTCAATTTTTGTGCTATCAGGCAATGTATCTCCCTAAAAAGAAATTAACTCGTTACCTTCTGTAAAATGTACTTTTTTGTGGACAAACATTTAAGTATATACTAACTCTTTGTCTTGAGGATACTTTCTTTTTTCGTGATTCAACCGACTTTTCTTCATGAAGATGAACTCGCTTACGTTCTAGCAATATTATCAATATTCACTATTATTCAGAGAAGGATATAGATATATGAAAATTAAATTATTACTAAAACGTAATTTATCTTGCGTGATGTTAAAAATTGTATCGTTTACATCGTCATGTAATTCTGAAACTCAACCAATCATCTTGTTAGTATTGAGGTTTACCGCCGTGTTTAATGTATCTAAAAAAGATGGACAATTCTTCCAGAAGATGTCGATTTTAACTGAATTTGTCTCTTTTTAATGAATAAAATGGAGAACAAAACCCATTCAGACATATCCTAAAAGTGCCTGATAGACATATCCATCAGCTGTCAGACGTATCCTAGCACCTTCTGGGTAGGTAAGTAGTAACAAATCACATTGCAAAGAAGTTATGCCCATTCAGATGTATCCTAAAAGTACCTGATAGATGTATCCATCGGCTGTCAGACGTATCCTAGTATCTTCTGGGCTCTTCATGATAAAAGTTTTATACCTTAAATTCCTTTAAAGCTTTTTCTGCTAACCCTTGTGCTGTTTCACTATCACGGGGTTCTAATAGTTTCGGGTCATTCTTAATTGCTTTCAAGTATGTCTTATAGGTATGATGTTCTGTATCTTTATTTTCAAAATTATTGGCGTAGAACATACTCCAATTTAGAAAACTTTCCAAGTCCCACAAAGCATTATTTTTAAAGTAGTAGAGCCTTAGTATATTAGTCATTTAAACACCTATACTCAAATGAGATTTTTATCAAATTTTATGTGGGTAGTCTTACTTCTACTTGAACGAGATTAGATATGGATGATCGCATGATATAATTTAAGGACTGAATCACATGCCTGTACAAAAATTTTGATCTGTATGATAGATTTCATTTGCACACATTTTCCGAAGCTCAAAGTGGACGAAATTTTATTAATTTCTCAGATGGTAGGAGTAGAGAGATAAATGAAATAATATGTGATACTATCAAAGAGGGAAGGAGTACGCAGATTCTAGGCCATTTAGCTGAATAATACCTTATTGTTTGCAGATAATCTCGTTTAATCAAGGATATTGATGTAAATATTAGTAAGTTTTATTAGATTTTATTACTTTCACTTGATTTTTTTGCTTATATTTGCGCAGGACAGATAAAAAAAGTTCACTAACTATCTCACCTTCTTTTTATATAATTTGATAGCGGTCTAAGAATCGAATTTGGAATGAATCTTCGAGGAATTATGATGGCTTCATGAAAATCAGATCAACGGATTCGCTCAAAGATATAATTAAAAGCCTTGATCGCTAACCATATGGGATCGTGCCCCTTGGATCAACAAAAGGATCTTTTTTTATTATTATTACATGAGTATCTGTGGGAAAGTTTGAGAATATTATGCATCTACAAAATGTTACGGTTAATTTTTTCTTACATAGCACATTAATCATTTCAGCAATAATTTTCCCAAATATTATACTACATATTTATTAGGATGCAAATATGCAAATACAATCCCTCAATCCTCACAACCATATCATGCAGAATATTATCGTGTAAATATATTGTGCTTAATGCATCTTCACTTTATTGATTGTAAATAAAAAATACATATCAGATCTTGGATCATGATACAGCTTTGCTTACATGATACATGATAAAGTCTTATTGCGTCTATCCTATCCACCTTCCGATACTCGCTATGTTCATTGTACCATCACCCTAACTTAATAGTCTGTTTCATTTGTTTGCATTCATGATTAGTCTTGATGACAAAGAAAGTGCTAAAATCTTATATCGCACAGCCCTACCCCTTGATCGCAAAAAACCTCTAATCTGATAATTTTAACTAAGCTATAAATGGAGCGAATATTTTGTATTGCACATTTTTTCAAGTGATCAATCTCACATGACTGGTCTATGCTACGATAGCGAATTTGAATTTATTGCTTGAAGTGAAGCAAGTAGGACAATATTCTGTTTCATTCCTATACCATTCACAATTTAATCCATAATTTTCATGTTTTCCATTGCAAATAGGGTATGGCGAGTCTCACAGCTGAGCAGATACAAATTATAACTATCAATCTTCTAAAACTATTTCAGAATTTCAGGTATGTGAAATGCTCTAACACGGACTTGATAATTAATTCTGGATCAGGTCTGGCTTCAAAAGTGACGGGCCCTTTTTCTTCACATGGCTCAGAAAAAGATAAATATAATACTTTGTTTCCCGGCATCAAATTTATGACTTCCAATACATGTATTTCCGATAATTGTCATGGCTCATACCCAGTTTCTTTTTTATATTTTTTGTATAAGCTGGACTGAATCTTATCCGTCAAAATGCTTGGTAAT